TAACTGCCTCCTTTATCTTCTTCCCTTGCTCCCTGCCTATAATAATAAAATTCGTCCCTACTATTCTTGGGGTAGATATAAAAATAAAAAAAATATATCACGACGTTTCGATCGCAACGCAAGCAATCGTCATCAGGTGAAAAAATATAGCGGGAGAGCTACTGAGGCAGGAACAAATATAGCGGGAGAGCTGCTGAGGCAGGATGTTATAAAGGTTTGAGATGGATGTAGCCCAAGGGTCATAAGCGAAGTGGGCGGGGCTAGAGATTAAATTTGCATATGAATGTGAGATTGGAGAACTGAGATACCTCCACGACGAGGAAGCTGTGGAGGTGGCCATTGCATTGTGAGAGATTAGCATGTCAATGTAGGAAAAACTAAAACCACCGCCACATCGAGGAAAACGACCAACGGTGGCTGTGTCAGTGAAACATTTAGCCTGTTAATGTAAAGATATTTAACCTGGTAATGTAACTCAGAGAGTCGAAAATAACTGTTAACATCGGCAGGTAAAATGGAAACATCACAGTCAGATATGACTTAAACTGGTTAATAACGTCCTTCCAACGATTGCTCAGTTTGTACCCATCTTCTCGTTTGAAATTGTGTCCGTGTTTATATACAGTGAGGGAAAAAAGTATTTGATCCCCTGCTGATTTTGTACGTTTACCCACTGACAAAGAAATGATCAGTCAATAATTTAATGGTAGGTTTATTTGAACAGTGAGAGACAGAATAACAAGAAAATCCAGAAAAACGCATGTCAAAAATATTATAAATTGATTTGCATTTTAATGAGGGAAATACGTATTTGACCCCTCTGCAAAACATGACTTAGTACTTGGTGGCAAAACCCTTGTTGGCAATCACAGAGGTCAGACGTTTCTTGTAGTTGGCCACCAGGTTTGCCCACATCTCAGGAGGAATTGTGTCCCACTCCTCTTTGCAGATCTTCTCCAAGTCATTAAGGTTTCGAGGCTGAGGTTTGGAAACTCGAACCTTCAGCTCCCTCCACAGATTTCCTATGGGATTAAGGTCTGGAGACTGGCTAGGCCACTCCAGGACCTTAATGTGCTTCTTCTTGAGCCACTCCCTTGTTGCCTTGGCTGTGTGTTTTGGGTCATTGTCATGCTGGAATACCCATCCACGACCCATTTTCAAGATTTGACGGTACATGGCCCCGACCATCGTCCCTTTTATGTGGTGAAGTTGTCTTATCCCCTTAGCAGAAAAACACCCCCAAAGCATAATGTTTCCACCTCCATGTTTGACGGTGGGGATGGTGTTCTTGGGGTCATAGGCAGCATTCCTCCTCCTCCAAACACGGCAAGTTGAGTTGATGCCAAAGAGCTCCATTTTGGTCTCATCTGACCACAACACTTTCACCCAGTTGTCCTCTGAATCATTCAGATGTTCATTGGCAAACTTCAGACGGGCATGTATATGTGCTATCTTGAGCAGGGGGACCTTGCGGGCACTGCAGGATTTCAGTCCTTCACGGCGTAGTGTGTTACCAATTGTTTTCTTGGTGACTATGGTCCCAGCTGCTGATTGATTGATTGCTTCTGTGGACAGGTGTCTTTTATACAGGTAACAAGCTGAGATTAGGAGCACTCCCTTTAAGAGTGTGCTCCTAATCTCAGCTCGTTACCCTTTAAGAGTGTGCTCCTAATCTCAGCTCGTTACCTGTATAAAAGACACCTGGGAGCCAGAAATCTTTCCGATTGAGAGGGGGTGAAATACTTATTTCCCTCATTAAAATGCAAATCAATTTATAACATTTCTGACATGCGTTTTTCTGGATTTTGTTGTTGTTATTCTGTCTCTCACTGTTCAAATAAACCTACCATTAGAATTATAGACTGATCATTTCTTTGTCAGTGGGCAAACGTATAAAATCAGCAGGGGATCAAATACTTTTTTCCCTCACTGTATGTGGATGGCTTCATGAAACGAATCTTTGCTGATAACCAGTGGGTTTGCAGAGTACCTTTGTCGTGGAAAAATAAATTTCGTGTGTGCCCACAGCGTTTAAGCAATGATCAGCCACGGCTGAGCTATTGGTCCTACCGTGCTTCAGATCTGCCTTATGTTCACGAACACGGTCCGAGACATGTCGCTTAGTTTCCCCAATGTAACTACTGCCGCAGGCACAGCTTAGTTTGTAGACACCGGGGTATTGCATGTCAGGGATCACATCCTTCACAGATGGGATCAGTTCACAAATGTTATGTACTGTGTTGAATCGAACCTGGATCTTGTGTCAAATGATGAAAAGAGACGAGACAAAATCTCCACAAGTGACACAGCTACCATTCTTGCCGCTCCACAGTTGCAATGTGGGACGCAACTCTCACAGGTGTTCAAAGGTGTCTTTCTTTATTGGTTTGTTTCTCACTTAAAAGTGGCGAGGTCAAGCAAGTCGCTGCAATGTCATGGAATAAATACCGTTTCACCTCAGCGTGTCCAAACTTTGTGAAAACAAGCAGAGTGGCGATTGAGATGCAGCCTCTTGCGAAAATACCATGCATTGCGAAACTGAATAGGAAAATAAAAACATTTAAACCGCGGCCTTTGGCACCCACCCAGATAATTAAAGTTGGTGATTTCACTGTTTAGGATTGTAGTACATGATAAGTTCTTAGGTTGACACTATAAATGCCATTTCGTAAACAGCTACAGTACGTCAGTGCAGAATGAAAAGGAAATCATCTGTTACGTTACAGTATAAGGTGTTCTGTAAATAATCTGATAAATGATTGTGATTGAACAACATTGATACATTTAAATTAGGCTTTGTATTGTAACATTTAAAAATATACGCTAAAATTGTATTCTCTACATAAAATACATCTTTAAAATATGGCATGCGCAGTCACACTGCAACTACCCTTCAATAACAGGTCCCTGCAGGGTGGGCTGGTAGGAACATTGGAATTTTGCGCAATTTTATTTTTACACCCCAACAGCACGAGATTTCACTTCGTTAAAGTATTGAAAGGGGACGGACGGACACATTAATCTATTGCAGGCTGGTACACTCAGTTTACAACTTCGTTCCTACCAGTATAAATGTACCAGTATAGAAGTAGCAACGTAATACCAATGACTGAACTCTGTCCCCTATATCACATATCACTGTGGTTAAAGTGCAAATATGTCCCTATAGCTCGTAAATATCTGGTATTATAGTGCACTTTTGTTTAGAAAGACCAAGGGAGCGTGATTTGGATTCGTGCTGAACTTACGTGAAAATATTGTACGTAAACGTCACAGGAACCCACAGTAGCACCACGTTTAATCTGTCAGATGTTTCCTTTGTTTTTGTGAAGTCTGGTGAAAACTATAAATCAATAGTCCGTCTCTATGCATGAAAATCAGCAACTCACAACACACAAAACATGTGGAGCTGTGGAACATTCAACTGTGTGTTAACAAAGTACGGAGAACACCTTGCCATTCACCATGATAATCACAGCAGTGAGGCATTGATAAAGCTACGATTTTTTTGGTACAATGTTCACGGAAATAGTGAATTTGAATGTTTCTGAAATATTGGAATAGCACCAGCCCCACCTTATTGCATGGCAGTTTCCAATAATTCGTGCTTCTTTCCCTGCCTCAGCCATGGCTTTCACCACAATTGCCACGCCTAGGCATTGCACTACAAATTACCACGCCTAGGCATTGCACATCGAAGAGGGCATTAAAAACATAGGAGCCATTTGCCTAATTTGTGCAACCTCAAGCTTCCTGTCTCAAGGCGTCCCCAAGGTACACATTACCATTTTTTTCCATGACATTTCCCCAGTGTCTGTGTCTCTTTACCCCTAACCAATGTCCTAATTATGCTCCGTTGCTTCCATGTCCCATTGTCAACCTGGCCATGAGCACATGTGTTCCAGTGCTCTCTTATCCTTGTGCCAACATTCACAATATATCCCTCATAGCTTAACGTCATTTTTTTCCCAAGTCTCTTGCTCAATTGCCTTCAGGATAATTTTCTTATATTGCCTCAATGGCCTCATTCCTCTCAATGTCAGATGTATTTCATGTCTTCATACGGCGTGTCTCGATGATTGTATTCATAACTCCATAGCTACAAATGGCCTCAAGTTTATAATTTCCCCACACCTCAAAATGCCACTGGATCATTGCATCTAATGTCCTCTTGCTCCCCTGTTGAATGCCCTCACATTCCTATACCTCAGTGAACTGCCCTCATACCCTAATGCCTGATGATGTGCTTCTTACAAAATGTTCAATCATCATTGTGACCCATTGGTTCCATTCCTCAGTCCTAAAACCCTCAGATACCACTGTCTCCAATGTCCTCATATCCCATTTTCCTATCAAGGTCTCTAATGTAATCCCCTCATGTTCCAATGCCCCCTCATGTAATCCCCTCATGTTTCAATGCCCATCATGTTTCAATGCCCCCTCATGTAATTTCCTCATGTTCCAATGCCCATCATGTTTCAATGCCCCCTCATGTAATTTCCTCATGTTCCAATGCCCATCATGTTTCAATGCCCCCTCATGTAATTCCCTCATGTCCCAATGCACATCATGTTTCAATGCCCCCTCATGTAATTCCCTCATGTTCCAATGCTCCTCATGTTTCAATGCCTCCTCATGTAATTCCCTCATGTCCCAATGCCCATCATGTTGCAATGCCCCCTCATGTAATTCCCTCATGTCCCAATGCCCATCATGTTGCAATGCCCCCTCATGTAATTCCCTCATGTCCCAATGCCCATCATGTTGCAATGCCCCCTCATGTAATTCCCTCATGTCCCAATGTCTCCCTCATGCCCCCGTCACCTAGCACCCTCACGCGCCGTGTTTTTTTTTATTCCCGCGCTTTTCGGGCGTCGCGCGCTAACGAGACCACGCGCCCGGCCCACGCTCACAAGCGGGGGGGGGGGGCTCGCGATCGAAACGACCACGTGATCGTCCTTCCAGCAAATGAGCGCGCGGTATTGTCCCCCACACCCCTCCCCCCACCGCCTCTAGCCCCCCCCCTCCCCCGGGGTGGCGGGCACCGATGGCCGTGCCTGGCGGGGAGGCCGCGCCGTTATTCCGCGACTCGCGCGCGTCGCACGGCGGTGTTGGGTTGAGGGGGCCCCCGCATTTGCAAGCGCTGCCCTCGCCGTAACGCCGATTAACATCCCCGCCCGCGCGTGCGATGACGAAGACGACAACGACGGTGGGAGGTGGACACGAAGCGGCGCCGTGAAAGCCGTGACAAAACGACGGAGGAGGAGGAGGCGGCGGCCCCCGGTGAGTGAGTGCGAGGGCGGCGCTGTCGAGGCGGCAGGCCTCCGGGGCCGCTCGAGAATGCGCGCGCCCAGGAGAGAGCCGAGCGAATGAGCTGGGGTCCATTGCCTGAAACGTCTCCAATTATATTTGTGTTTTTTTAAAGAAACTTATTGAATGCATCGCGTTATTTTTCGCGCCCGTGTATCGCTGCTAACGCACACCGAATCGATGCTTTATATTTAGCAGTGCGGATGCGCGGCCACTGCGGCACTGCGCCCTCTCAGTGGTCCGTGGCGCGGCCCGCGGCCAATGGGAGCGCAGCGTGCGCGTCACGTGCGCACGCGCTCCCCCGTGCGCGCTGGGGAATGTAACAGCGCGGTGTCGTGGGCTCCCCCTTCCTCGTCCGCCTTTGTTTCCCCCCCTCCACCTCCGTTCTCTCGCGCTGGGGAAACGGGTTGCCGCGTCGGCCTCGTTTCCCTCTCGTACCGCCGAGCGGTGGAGGGAGACCGAGACGGCTTGCGAGGAGAAACGATCCAATCGGCGCGATCCCGCGTGGCACGTGACGCGTTGCGGGGGACGCGAGACACGTGGAGAGGGAGGAGGAGCGGGGAGTGGGAGATGAGCGGGGAGCAGGGAGAGGGAGCAGCAGGGTGGTTAGGTGGGAGATGAGAGGGAGCAGCAGGGTGGTTAGGTGGGAGATGAGAGGGAGCAGCAGGGTGGTTAGGTGGGAGATGAGAGGGAGCAGCAGGGTGGTTAGGTGGGAGATGAGAGGGAGCAGCAGGGTGGTTAGGTGGGAGATGAGAGGGAGCAGCAGGGTGGTTAGGTGGGAGATGAGAGGGAGCAGCAGGGTGGTTAGGTGGGAGATGAGAGGGAGCAGCAGGGTGGTTAGGCGGGAGATGAGAGGGAGCAGCAGGGTGGTTAGGTGGGAGATGAGAGGGAGCAGCAGGGTGGTTAGGTGGGAGATGAGAGGGAGCAGCAGGGTGGTTAGGTGGGAGATGAGAGGGAGCAGGAATATTGGGTGAGGAGGGGGGATAGGAAGACCAGGGAACTGGGACACGTGGTACAGCAGCAAGGGCCAGGATGGAAGCAGGAGGCCGATATCTTCTAAAGGATGTTACGAAAATGCATGGCTTTAAATATGACCCTACATAAATAAAAGTAACATAAAATTTGCTTATTTGGTAATTAACAATAAAATACCAATCGTAGGGATCGCGCCCTTGATGAACGGGAATGCAGACCAAAGCGCGTGGATCGAGCTCGAATGTTAAATTTAAGCAATCTATGATAGCTACCGATTGTCGGTTTGATAATTATTCGACATCGGATACCAGTGAAATATTCAACTCTCCTCCCAGGTTGAGCCACTATTTGGTGACTTCATTAGCACCGTTCGCGTCACGTTCAGCGTGCCCCCCCCCACCTTTCGGAGGCAGGAAGTTGCAGTGTGTTTGACATAAAACGGGTTAAAATGCTTGGGCCACTAATGGGTATCATCGAAGAATCGTTGCAGCCAAACATTGAAACTGAGCTCAGAACGGAAGGTACCAAATACAACAATGTGGGATCAGCGGCCAGGATACGTGGGGCCAGGAATTAGGACATCGGAACTTGGGGCCAAAGTGAGACTGAGCAACGGGATGGCAGGGACAGGAGGCAAGCACACAGAGGATCCATCCCATATTTTTTTTGTTTTACGGAACAAATGCTCGCGTTGGCTGGGTAAGATTTTGGATCAGTTATTTTAAAAAGGTTTCTTAGTACCAAGTTGTAAGCAAATCAGTGTTAAAAACTATACTGTACTAATGATGGGCTGATATTCGATTTAAAGCTTTCGTGACTGCAGGGATTCATCTTCTTGGTTCTTTTGGTAAATAAAAATAAAACAAAATAAAATTCTCACGACGTTTCGGCCACAACACAAGTAGCCTTACTCAGGTGCAGGAGCAGAACTGTCGGGACGACAGCGCTCCAATGAACACTGCTAAGCTAGGCAGCGTCTTTTAAGCTGGGTGGGAGGAGCAGAGCGCCTTGACAAAGGAGTTTACATATCAACAGAATAATTTAGCATTGAAGTAGCTGTGTTAATGTGATAGATTAGCAGGATATTAAAGTCAAAAATTAGCGTAACTGGGAGATTAGCAATTGTCTCTGTGTTTGTATATGCCTCTGTTGATATGTAAACTCTGACTTTAACATAACTACTTCCGTGACCAGTTACATGCTAATCCCTCACACTAACATCACGCTGCCTAGCTTAGCAGTGTTCATTGGAGCGCTGTCTTTCCGACAGTTCTGTTTCTTCACCTGAGGAAGGCTACTTGTGTTGTGGCCGAAACGTCGTGAGAATTTTATTTTATTATGTTTTATTTTTATAATTTTATTATTTCCCTTCTATGTGACTTTACCGAAAGAACCAAGACGATGGGCTGATATTTACGTCATTCTATTCCTGAAAAGTAGAATATTTGACTGTGTGGGTTTATTACATCAGTGGCAATCATCTCACCCGAACTTCTCCACTTAAGCTCATATTCATACAGAGCACGCATTATTTTCGACGCCCTAACCGCATTGGTCACGAGCATTTGAGTTGTGCTCTCGGCGTGGAGGTGCGGGATGTAAGATGCAGCGCGTGACCTGCCCCCCCCCCCCCCCCACGTGCTTCAGACTTCGAGTCACGCGACAGTCTTTTGCACTCTAAAACCATTATAAGTGGCTAAAAACGCTCCCCGAATGTCAAACAGACGATGCTTGTTTTGTAATTGTTTTGCTCTTTTGTAATTGTAATGCCATACTTTGGGTCCATTTGTTCAGTCGAGCAAGATGTGTATGTTCCAGCCAAATCAAATGTTCGCCAAACTCATGAGCAGAGTGAACGGAAGGAAACTGAATAATGACCATGAGCGTCGTTGTGGAGAATAAAAGTAAAATATCTGCCTCACCGTTAAAAGAAAATTAGAAGTAAAGAGCAACCCCCACGTCCTTTGGGCGTGACGTCACTAGAAATGAACCCGTGTCAACGCTGTGCGCTGCGGGATGACGTCATCCGGCAGATGTACTGCGACGTCACCACATTGCAGGCAGGAATCGAGACAAGCAGCCAGTGAAACTGTTTTGTGTGTAGTATAACTAGTGTGAAAACATCCACTTGCCCACAGGTACAAATGTACACAGATATGCATCAGCACATACGAATTTCGCGCGCGTTATGCTATAGATAGATGCCTTTCAAAAAGGGTTCACAAAGCGAAATCGTGTAGAATATGCCGCACAGTCACCCAACCTACAATGCACCCAACCCACAATTTTGGTAGAAATAGGTCAGCCGCATAGACGTGGAATCACGCACACCGAACCCGCATCAAGCGAGGGAAACCTGTAGAACATTTCCCTCCTGACCCACCACGTTCCAGTGGACGCTATGGTGCCACTCCCTATCTGGCCTACCCCTGCCTCCATCCAGCAGTGGAATAATTATCACTGATGATAAACTGCCTAAAAAAATATTTAAGTCGTGCAGGAGAATATGGTTTAGCTTGGCATGCCTATGGCATTAATTATGGATACAGTACACTAATTTGGATTCCGGCTGTAAAATGTATTTGAAAGAAAATGTTTTGGCAGTTTTAGGGGCAAAATATTGCAATAATTTTATTGTCTATATATTTAGGGCCTTTACATAACATTTGTCAGCATATTTATGCATGCTTACTAACTTAATGCTCGCAACTTCCACCTTATTTACAAACGTTCTAGATATATATTTAAGTATATTTGCCATTAATTATTTGACCACGAATGGTCCATGCTTGCATTGTCTGTTGATAAAAGATAAGTCGTTTATTGTCGCATCTGTTCCCATTATGGTTACTGTACTTTATGAGAATAAAAAATGGGTCCAACTTTATCTAAACATTGCAAGCCCGTCAATATGCTCTGTGCATGCCGATTTGCAGCACATTGAAAAAACGATGAACATTGTCACATCGAGTTGGTAACAGGTGCCATAACAGCTACGATAATGGTGCACCTACAGTGCAAGATTCGCTTCTGGATTTAACGAGCTCCCTGTATAATACAAAGTGCGTCAGAGTCTCATTACTGCAAACAGGTCTCTCGTTAACTCAGTCTCAAACCAACTGTTGTCGCGCCGCGTGTGGCAGGCGAGATTTTCTGACCACTTTTTGTTAATTGCCCGTTGCCTCGGAAACACGGCAATCACGGGAAATGGATTGTGCTTCCCCGCAGCCTTTAGTTTGTACAGCGTTTTTTGTTGTTGTTGTTGAGATCTGCTTCTGTAAATGTACAGCAAATTTCACACTGAGCCACGAATACCAAAACCATTTTTTTTATTTTATCCACACACTTAAGACTATTTGGCTGCAAAATGTCAGTATCGATCTTCCGAAGACTACCTCTTCAGCAGAAAATCCCATTCCTCACCATCGCTACCCTTGTCTGAGAAAGCTACATAGCTCTCACCCCTCAAACATCCCACCTCCCTAACCGCAAATACATGGTCATAGATCGTCCTTGATCTTTTGCCTCATCTGTCCTACATGGGCTGGCCCAAAGAACGCACTCGAGCCAGGCGAAGACAAAGACAGCTTGAGTCCTCATACGCGTGTTCTTTTGAAATGTAAACTAGTAGATAGTGACTTGTACATGTAATAGTAATTATGTATCAATTTACTCTACCCCCATGTGCCGCACAAAATAATTGTCATGGTTGTGATTTGAGTCATAAATCCTTAGAACTACCCCCAAACTATGGTGAATGGTTCTGCAGAATATTTTACTTGATGCATTATCATGAGTGTAACAATCGATTTTAATAGATGAATCATGAAATGGCTCGTGAATAGTCTGTCCTGAGCATGAGAATACGAATTTTTGGCCTAAGGGTCCAACCCAGAAAAGCCTTATCACTGCCCTAAGCCCTTTCAGCACAATAACACGTGTTCAGGATCAGTGGTTTTAAACTGAGCGACGTCATCAAGAGACCAGTGTGTTTCATA